CGATAGATCCCCCTGCATATTTACTGCGGGTTAGATTCCCGATAGATCCCCTTGCACATTAATAGTTGGACTACGGGACGGTATCCCGAGAGATCCTTCGGATATATACATATGATGGACTACGGGACGGTATCCCGGGAGATCCACTGGACAGTTGAGAAAAGGACTACAGGACGGTATCCTAGGAGATCCTCATTGTTACCATTGGTATTGAGCTGTACATATTTCGTGTTTACTCCGTTCCTTGTGTAATTGTTATTGCTTTGTTTAGCATGTCTTATTCCATTGTTGTACTCATTATTACTGCCTGTTTTCATACTGTTGATTCATATTATATTGTTTAACCTCAGTAGGGCCCTGACCTTCCTCGTCACAACCCAACCGATGTTAGGCTTGGCACTTACTGAGTACCGCTGTGGTGTACTCATGCCCTTTCTGCGCATGTTTTTCATGTGCAGATCCAGGTACCTCCACTCAGGCGCACTATCCTTGAGGCAGGGAGAGCTACAGAGACTTTGAGGTACATCTGCAGCGTCCGCACACCGAAGAGTCTCCTTCTTACTCTATCTTGTAGCGTTTAGACTTCTTTCGTACTTTTGTTTAGACAAATTCTGGAGTTAGAGCAGTGTATTACATTTCTTTTAGCCTGTGTTTCCCGTGAGTTTCCGGTTTTTAGGGTGACATAGTAGACTTTCGCGTTTGAGTTGTATATGCCAGGTGGCACCTATATACAGTTCTACTTCTATTTTTTTTCCTTAGTTTAATTTATTGTTCCGAAGTTATAGTATTTCCGCATATTAGGCTTACCTAGTCGTAGGGGCTAGGTGCCATCACGACATGTTCACGGGGGGCGAACTGGGGTCGTGACAATCTTCTTAAGAAATTTTGTAGATTATTTGTAGAAACATTGAAATTCTGTATTTTCATATTAATTTTTCAAATGATATGTAGTTTTGTTGTAGATTAAATGTAGAAAATAAGCCATTGTGAGTCTTATTTGACTCATTCCTCACATTCAACCTATTTTACAAATTCACGCCTCTTTAAATACAATACAACCATACTTTCTTGAATTTAAAGTTTAGCAATATATATAACTTAAAAAACATCTTCTCTTCTGCACAAGTTAGCTCCAAAACAGACGAAGTGGAATAACAAGCTCCCATCAAAAATTTTAACACAAAAACACAAAGCTCAAAAATAAATAAACAACAGTCTACAATTTATCTACAATTTTTCTATAATTTCTGCAATATATGTCTTCTTCTTCTTCGAATTTCAATCTGAAATTCAGCCAAAACCAAGTCTAATCTTCACCAAAACCCCTCAAAGTTGAGATATAAACTCCAAATCATATTTCCAATTAATTACAACAACACACAATCCAAACAAATAATGATTTTTGAAAACCCAAATTTGAATTCAAAGCTTCAAAGCTTTTTAATGGCTGTCAATGGTGGAATTGCTGCTCTCTTTTCCTTTCCTCTTATATTACTGAAGGAACCCGAAATCATAACCATCAAAAGTTATTGTTGTGTATGAAACTTTGAAGATTTGACTTCAATTTTGACTGGTTGTAGAAGAAAGAACCTTGATTTTGGACGTTAATGGTAGAAGGTTTCAGTTGTTTTTCTGGATTTAGCAGAGGGTTTCAATTGCTTTTCTGGTTTTTCTGATTTTTGGATGTGTGGTGATACGTGGTTGAGGTAGTGGGGTTGGGAGAGAGAAACGTGGGAGGACGGGGATTTGGAGGAATATACGGTACTATAAATTTAGGAGTGATATAATGTACAATTAATGTACAGTTAAAACACCTTATGGTATAGAATTGGTAATTAGGTATACTAGATGTAATTATATTAAACCTTAAACATTGAGGGTAATATAGTTTCCTATATGGCATAGGAATGTAAAAATTCCTATATTAAAAGCAAGAAAACCCTAAGCGAAATGTCGTTCGCCTTTTTATCCTTCAAAAATAAAGTTCACAATAGATAAAATAATCATTTAATTATTGCTCTAATATTTATGAATATTCATTTAATTAGTAACATTAATTCCAATATAGTATTAAGAAACGAATTGGTAAAAATACAGACTTAAAGTAATACGGATAAAACAATAGAAGACAAAATATATTCTAAATGAGTCATCATTAATTAGTTTTTCTTCCTTTGCATTTGTCCAACAAATGACAACTTATATTAAGTTATTTATCATAAAATATTAACTCAATATTGATTATTTTTAGACTTTACATTGCCACTTATTAGCTTTAGCCTTTTTTAGGAGTTGACAACAATAATTTTTTTCCCCACAACGTCCGTAATATTTTGCTAATTTTAATAAATGGGGCAGCAATTTAATTTAGTTATTGGTATATATGATAGTAATCATGAATTGCTACTTGCTAAGAAATTTTTTAATCTTATGGTATTTTGTGGTAATACAATATATTCAAAGTGTAGATAAATTGACAACAATATATTTTCATAGTTATTACAGTGATTTTCTTTTTATCATTGATAAAATACTTAATTTTCTTGCAACTCTTTTTGGTTTCAAATTTTTCTTCAAAGTTAACGAAAAAAGTAGCGGCAAATTTCTCTCCCTTTTTCCCAAATCCCTCTTTTAGTTGACTACCACCTTTATTTTCAATTCTCCCTAATTTTCCTCATATCTCTTTATGAGATCCCTTTGGCAGCTGTCCGAGCCTTCCCTTGATTGTGCCTTTAGGCTTTTCTTCTTGCTGCTTTGTTTGCGCTTTCGAATCCGCTTCTGTAAAGAAAGGAGAAGAGAGAGGCGTCGGCTAACTAAGGACGAGATCTTCAACTCCCAATCAAACTCTTGCCCAAGCAAAATCTGTTATCATTTTCTCTATCAATATATTACTTCTCTCTCTCTTTCTCAATATCTCTGTATGTGTGTGTCTATTCTCCAAAACATTTTCTTGATTTAATAGCATAGAAGACCCAATCTGGGATGATGGGCATTTCAAGATAAGGTATATAATCTACTCTACTTTCTTTCGATATGTATTTAGAGCATTATAAATTTGGGTATCTCCAGATGGCATATGACATGTATGTATTAGTGTGTTTTTATTTATTTTAATTTTATTGTAAGGGTATGAAAGAAATTTTGTCTAATGTTCTCTAATTTTTGAGAGGTTAACGGCTCAAAATTTTATCTCTTAGTCTGAATGTGGTTATAGCCAGAGAAGAACTGAAGTAAGTATCTTTATCAGTACTTATTCCCCGTTCTATTATTCTTATTAATTAATATTTGAATTATAATTAACATTTAAAATATATGTTTTCTAAATCATGTGATCATTAAGTATGTACTAAAATTATAACTTTTTTTTTCCTATTCTCAGGTACATGAAGATGAAAATTATTAGACACACAATAGCATTTGGAGAAGCAACATACTGGAGAAGCAACATACTTTATTTTTTTTATAATCAATACTCATGTATTTTGATTAGAATTCGCGTTACATAAAATTTACTTTATTTATGTGTTCTAGTTTTAGGAGTTTGGAAAAGATATTATTGTAATTTGGTATAGTTCTTAATTTTATGATCATGGGTGCAAACTTTTGTTGTTACCTTGTATGTGTTATTATATTATTTCCAATTAGTTTACTCGAGATTCACCTTTTTATTGACTTATACGAATTTACTTTATTTTATGTCAATTGTAATTGACATTAATAATGATTATTATAGTAATGATTTTATTTTATCATTGAAAGCAATATATTTTGCTAAAAAATAATAATTTTCCATTACAAAATTATAATTTAAAAAAGAAGAAGCTAAGTTGTCACTAATTTATCTATTTAGGGAGGAAATACTTTTTTGTCTATAAAAGATAGTCTTTAGTGACAAAATTGCATCGTCACTAATTAAACTAAATAGTTAGTGACGAGGTAGTTTTGTCGGCATTAATGCACTTTTCAGTGACGAAGCTACACTATTAACTACGATTTGTTTTGTATTTTTTGTGACAAACAAGTTTTTCATAAATACTATATATTTAGGGACGAAAAAAAAACTCGTAGTTAATATAATTTTATTTAGCAACGAAACACAAAGTTGTCTTTGTATACTATTAGTGATGGTGTTTTAAGGACCAAAGATTGACAAAAAAACTTCCCTCACAAAAGTTCTTTGGTGACGAAAAATAAACCTTGGGTGACGAAATAATTCATCACCAATAATCAAATTTGTTGTAGTGATTGCGCCGCGGTCGTCGCAATATTAGGTGGGAGAGAGTGTGATGACCCGCCACGTCATCATGCCACATAGGCACCATTTGGCATATATTAATGCCATGTGGAAGCTTACATAGGAGGAAAGCTAGCATTTGTGAGGAGATTCTAGAGAAGTATGGACATTTCCTTTGGAAGGCCCTAGATCCCTATGGATTTGCTAGGAAAGTCCTTGGAGTCTTCTAGGTTTGGAGAGAGTTCTAGAGAAAGCTCTTATCTTGTAAATATTAAGGACTTGTGTAACAATAAATATTTATATACTAGCCCCTAGGAGACTAGTATATAAAAGGGGCGATTCATTTGTAATTAACCAAGCAAACAATTCAAGTTCTCTCTAATACAAAGTTTCCCTTAAGAACTCTCGTGTTCTTTCTACCATTCTCTTAGCGATCTTGAGTGTAGTAAGGCTGACTTGACATAGCAAGAACGTGAGCAAATTGTGAAAGATCGTGAGCGAATTGTCAAGTGTTGCACGTGTACTTAGTTAACGACTAAGGACGTGACATTGGTCACTAATTTGTTTTTCCGCTTATTTCGATCTTTTGAGTCCAAAAAGCAACATTTAGGTTTTGGACCCTTTCCGAAGAAGCTTTTAGTCTTTTAAGAAGGCTTAACCAACAAACCAGCACCTGTAAAATGAAGATTGAAGTGTTCGACTAAGCCCTGCGACGCGTGTTATTCGAACATTACGTGTATGGACTTCTTCTCCTCTTTCCTTTTGGCGCTATCTAAATTTGCTCTGAGATAATTAGATGACCGTAAAAAGGATGTCTTTCTAGCTCACATCGCCATACTTTCTTTCAGTGAAAAATGAGTCAAGAACAACCAACTCAGGATGGTAGTAGTGAACCTATCAAATATGGGGATGTGTTCGAGGTCTCAAGCGAACTTGCTTCAAAACCCGTAGCACCACAAGATGCAACTATCATGCAGTCAGCTGAGAGTATAGCGCTGGGTCATGTTCCAAGAGGTGGTCCTGCGTCAATTATGCAGTCAGCCGCCGCTCAGAATGAGCGTCTTGGTGCCATAAGTCGTGATGACATGACGGATATCGCCAGAGATAAAGGTGTCACCGTCTCTCAAACAGAAGTTGGGGGTACTCGCCTTGTTTCAGAAGCTGTCGCTGGAGAGGTACTACTCCACTATATATCAAGATATTTGATCATGGAGTAAAGAAACTTCTTTTTGACATATACCAAAACTAGTTTTAGAGTTCATGGTTTAAAAAACGTCATGATATTTGTTCTATGAATTATGAATATATATACTGCCAGTGTCATAAAGCTAAATAGGGGTGCACAAAATACTGCACTTTGGGGGGGGGGGGGGGGGGGGGGTAGGGAGGAGGAGGTGGAGTTGATATGTATTAAAGCCAGGCAAAAAAATACATTAAAGGATTTTATCAATTATAGGTTGTTGGACAATATATTTATCCATCAGAAGCAGGTGATGGATATCCTACAACAGGAGTTCAGTCGGAGTCCACTACCATAGGTGAAGCTCTGGAGGCAGTGGCCCTGACTGCAGGGGACAAACCAATTGAACAGAGCGACGCGGCAGCGATACAGGCTGCAGAAGTAAGAGCTACAGGAGTAGGTGAATTGATGCCGGGAGGTATAGGAGCAGAAGCTCAACATGCAGCTGCAATAAATGCTCGAACCAAGCCAGAGGATGATAAGACCACTCTCAGTGATGTTCTAACAGTAAGTCTTTTCATAGTAGTGCAATTTGCCTTCCATTAATAGAGGGTCGAATTTGTCCTTGAGAACTTTTTAAATTTGTCTTTAACTGTTGCCCTTACAAGGTAAGGGCAAAATCGAGCCACTTCGGTTATGATAAGGATGCGAATGAGATGTTTTTTTAACAAAGGGCAAAATTGTTCCATGACGCATAGTATAGGGGAACTTTTGACCCTTTTGCGTCTTATTAGCTATAAAATGTAAAAGAATCAGCGGATAGAAATTAATTCTTGTTTTTTACTATTCTTTAGGATGCAACGAGCAGGCTTATAGGGGACAAGGCAGTGAAGAAGGAAGATGCAGAAGGAGTGGTGGGTTCTGAAATAAGGACTAGGCGTGACTTGGCTACACTTCCTGGAGGCGTAGCAGCATCTATGGCCGTTGCATCCAGTCTGAACCAATTTTAAATCAGCGTTTGAACACAATCCAAAATGGGTCTTTTTGTCTGGGTTCTGGTCTTTGTTCCAAGTAGTTTAATTTAGTGTATACACTATCCTCTTAGGTTGTATGCTTGTAGCATTGTACGTGGTGTATTGCTAGTTTTGTGAACTTTTCATGCGTATCTTTTTTGTAAGCTAACGGTATGTGCATTAACTGGGGAAGTTTATGTTAATAGCAAATTCGGCACGAGTTCTTTTCTTATCTTTTTTCTCTAATTAATATATTACTTAGATCGGAAGTCAACTGAGTGCAGATGTTCTAATTATATTCATGGTCATGGATCAGTGTTGTAAAAATAAGCTATTAATTCATAGTAAGTAGCTTAAATTCCGTATAAAAAAAACAAGCTAAGTGCACCTTGTGTTTAAAAAGTTTGGAGCATCGGCTGTTTCTGGGTTTCTTTAATAAATGGTTCATTTGGGCTGCGAGTAGTTCTACAATTGGACTGATGATGAGCCCCTCTAATATATTTTGGGCACCCAATTTCAAGCTAGAAAGCTTAATGTCCACACAGACGACCCGAAAGCCATATGGGGTAATTGAGTGATTGCAAGTATTGAACCCATAACTTGGCTGGCTCTGTGCAAAACGAAGTCATCAAATTAAAAAGATCTAATCTTTTCTACAGCTAATCTATGAGATTTCTGTCTGTCACCTAATGCAATGTACTTGTTCCGTGCAATGCCACGACTTCCATACAACATCATGGAACTTGTGAGGAAATTGTCTCAGCGCACAACCGTATATCCTATAGTTTAATACGACAACTATTTGTCTGCTGGAATCAGCATTATGTCTTCCTCCTTATACTAATCTATATGTGTTGGAACAACAAATTAAATAATGTATATAGTATACTCTAACAAACATATGAAACTAATCGAGTCAGTTAACACTCAGCATCATGAGTATCCTTCTTAATTAACTGTCTTCGAGTAGTATCTTGAGATTCTGAAGCTAGTAGGCTAACCAATAATTTATGGAACTTGTTACATCAACTATCCTACTGTTATTTGTTCATCCATTTAATGCTTATATGGATTTTTCTTTTTCCCTTCTGTCTTCTTTCTCCTTAACATGGTTATGTCCATATTGAAATTTGAGCGAGAATGGGCATGTGGGTATATGCATGGCAGCAACAAAGACTCGAGCAAGTGGGGCAACATCCACCTATACAAATTCGTATACGTCATTTGTGTCCAAATAATAACCTAGAAAATGTGTTGGAAAAAGTTACTGGGTTGAATCCACCCATAAGGGCCGAGGGGTACAAATTAACCCATTATCTCATTACAAATACACCATTATGGGGTAGAAAAAGGCGATTTTTCTAATGTTTCTTATGGGAAAAAACGACGGCTAGGGTCGAATTCTTTACGTCTAGATTGTGGAAACTAGTGGTGTCAAAATGGTTAAAAGAAAACAGTTAACAATTTATATTATCAACTAAAAAATAGGTTGGATAATGAATTTTTTAGAAACGGGTCAAATATGGATAAGAATCATATTTATCCATTTAGAAAATGGGTAACCAATGGATAACCAACGAGTTTAACTTTTACATTTGTAAAGTCTCAAATTGGGGTTCCTCAAGTTTGGGAGACTAAGAATTCTCTCAAAAGTAATCATATTCAAGAAGTCATGGATAATATAGTTACCTATATTATCCGCCGGTTAACCCATTTTTTATCCATACTAATCGGGTCAGATAATTTATCCATTTTCTCATTACCCGTTTTCGATCTGAACCATATCCGACCCCACCCGCCTGTGCCGCTCCTAGTGAAACCAAGGAATTCTTTCACTTTGTGGTATACAGACCGGTAACTCAAGTCGTGATTGCTGTAGATTCGCTTCTGCCAGGAGAAATTCGTAAGTCTCCTAAATCTAATATTTTCGGGTTAAGTGCTACAAAAATGGATACTGAATCCAAATAATGAATGAATTGGATCTTCAGCCAATATCAAACGAATATGATTCCTATCCTCAGCTTTTTATTTACAGTTCACGAATTACTCACAAGTTTTTGTCTCCTCCCAGTAATGGATGCTACTCTCATTACTTTTGTTGAATGATACATTTGTTCCAAATGGTGGTAGCTCCCAACGAGTGAGTAATCTTTGAATTTTTCAATATAATATGGCAGGGAAAGTGGCTGTTAGGGTTGGCATATGTTATGTCGAGGAAGAGGCAAACCCGAAAATAAAGAAGATAAAGAACATCAAATTTTAACGTGAAAAATCCTTCAAATCGAAGGCAAAAACCACGAGATCACAAAAATCCAAAAAGCTCTACTATAACAATAAGAGGGTTACAAAAGTTCTCCAAATTGGCTATACAACAAGTGCCAAACACGGAGCAACAATAGCAACAATAAATCAATTGAAGAAAGAGAAGAATCCACAAAAATGAAGCTGCTGTTCGAGGCTCGAAATCAGATGTTACGGACCTCCAAATCTGATCTCCTCCATTCAAATCAAAGACCAAGATATTACAAACACTCAGTCAAAATTTCAGCCCGATCCAACGGTTAACGAGTCGGTAAACCGGATTTGAAGTTGGCTGGTCGGAATAAAAAACTGCAGCAAAAATAAATATTTTTCTTCTCTCTTCTCTCTTGATGAAAGCTCTCTCAAAAAACCACTCTTATGTTCTTAAGTCTTTCAAAAACTTGTACCAATAAGCATAGAATAATTCTCCAAGGTTGTCCTATTTATAGATCATGAGTGGTGCTTTCTCTTAAAGTCAAAACTCACTCAAAATAGGAATAAACACCGAATCCAATTCCGAATAGGAATGGAAACCAAAAGAGAATAGGATTAGGCCATTGAGCCTTTGGCTGGACAACATGGGCATGTGCCCAACAAACTCCCCCTCCAGCCAAGGGGTCAAATATGTCTTCAAGTAGAGGAACTATTGACAGGCTTCATGCCTGCCAATTTTCTGCAATACACATGCTTATCTGCAAGCTTAATTACGAAGTCCTCAGGCTGCTCCATATAAATCTCATCATTTAAATCACCATGAAGAAAAGCAGTCTTGTCATCCATCTGCTCAACCTCTAAATCTAGACTCGCGGCTAAGCCTAGAACCACACGAATAGAAGACATCTTCAAAACAGGGGAGAAAATTTCATCAAAGTCAACTCCCTTCTTCTGGCCAAAACCTTTAACAACTAACCTCGCCTTGTATCTAGGCGCAGAGGTATGACTATCTTGCTTTATTCTGAATATCCATTTGTTAGATAAAGCTCTCTTACCTTTCGGCAATTTCACTAACTCATATGTGTCATTCTCATGGAGTGACTTCATCTCATCTTTCATGGCTTCTATCCACTGATATTTGTGAGTATCTTGCATGAATTCATAATAGCTCTCAGGTTGCCCCATGTCAGTCAAAAGTACATACTCATCAGGAGGATAACGCATGGATTTTTGCTTCTCCCTTGTAGATCTTCTAGGAGAGGTTTCAGGAGCATTCGAAGTAGTTACCTGAGCAGGAATTGGTTACTGATCAACCACAACTTCATCAACTGAAGCATCCATAACATTTATACCATGATGATCATTTTGATCTTGATCACTATCTCCATCATTGTCTTGGGTTCCTTCAAGTGCAATAGGTGCCTTAGCAATAGAAACTGGATCACTATCAACTAAGCTCTCATTACTCTGAGAATCTATCTTCTCAGCTTTGTCAATATCTTCAATGGTCTGGTCTTCAAAGAATATTGCCTCACGACTTCTAATAAGTTTATTTTCAACTGGATCATAAAAACGATACCCAAATTCATCTTGACCATACATGATAAAGATGCACTGCTTAGTTTTGACATCCAGTTTCGCTCTCTCATCTTTGGGAACATGCACATAAGCTTTACACCCAAAAACTCTTATGTGATTATAAGAAACATCTTTGGCAAACCAAGCTCTGTCTGGAACATCACCATCCAAAGCAACAGCAGGAGACAAATTGATAACATAGGCAACAGTGTTAACTGCTTCCGCCCAAAATGTATTTGGAAGTTTAGCTTCTGAAAGCAAGAATCTAACTCTCTCAACTAGAGTTCTATTCATCCTCTCTGCCAAATCATTCAATTGAGGCGTCTTGGGCGGAGTTTTCTGATGACGAATTCCTTGTTCCTTGCAATAGTTATCAAAAGGACCACAATATTCACCACCATTGTCAGTGCGAATACATTTTAATTTCTTCCCCGTCTGTCTCTCAGCTAAGGCCTGAAATTTCTTAAACACGCCAAGTGGTTGATCATTAGATTTCAAAGGATACACCCAGAGCTTACGAGAATGATCATCAATGAAGGTCACAAAGTAAAGTGCACCACTTTTTGACTTTACTTTAAAAGAACCACACAAATCAGAGTGTATTAGCTCCAATAAATCGGGCTTTCTTGAGGGAGGATGGCTATGAAAGGAAATTCTTTTCTGTTTGCCAGCTAAACAATGGATATACCTTTTCAGCTTTGATTGTTTCACTCCAGAAAGCAAACTTTTCTTAGCCAAACACGTAATCCCCCTCTCGCTCATATGACTCAATCTTATATGCCACAATTCTGATAAAGTGTCACTTTCCACCAGATTTATGGAGTCATTAAGAATAGAGCCCTGTGTCACATATAAATAACCAGACTTGGCTCCTCGAGCCACTACTAACGAGCCCTTAGTGAGCTTCCATTGTCCATTAAAGAGGGCATTATGGTAACCTTCATTGTATAATCTTCCTGCGGAGATCAAATTGAAAGGAAAGTCTGGAGCATGCTTCACATCTTGTAGAACTAACGTTGAACCATTATTAGTTTTCAAACAAACTGTGCCAACACCAAACACCTTAACTTCACTGGCATTGCCCATCTTTAACACTCTAGAATCAACAGGAGTATAAGATGAGAAAAAATCTTTTCTTGGTGTGACATGTGAGGTAGCTCCAGAATCGACTATCCAGCTCGTCTCATGGGATACCAAATTGATGACGTTTCTATCATAAGCAAAAAGAAGGTCAGCTCGAACAATAGCAGCAACATTGTTCTCGTTATTTTCAACTTTCTTTCCTTCTCTAATGTCTTGCAACAACTTGCGGCAAAACCTTTTGATATGTCCTTTCTTTCCACAGTGGTTGCATGTAATATTATGGTATTTGGACCTTGACTTACTTCTACTTTTACCTCTATTCCATGAGCCTCTTGT